CACACACACACACACACACAGAGAGAGAGAGAGAGAGAGAGAGAGAGAGAGAGAGAGAGAGAGAGAGAGAGAGTAGGTGAAGGCCACCACCAAGGCTGTGCTGATTCCTATCTAAAGCTGCAAGTGACTCTCTGAGCAGCAGTCCATCACTGTGATAAATGAAGTACCTGGCCTGGGTCAGCATTTGCTAATATATCTCCATAAAAATACACAAAGGTGACAAAGGGACTTGGAGAGCCGCAGAGACTCCAGGTAGCCAAAGGCCATGTCCCTTGTCTTCCATGGTTTTATTCATGTGGCTATCAAATAAGGGATACTGGCTTTGAAATACGTCCAGTCCTCTTTAGTTCCTTTTCTTGGGTTAACAAGCGTTTACTGAGTACCTGCAACAGCCGCAAAGTAATTTAGGCATTGTGGACACAGATGGGCAGGAGCTATGAGCTCTGCTCATGTGGAATTTTCCTACCAGTGAAGAAAACAAAATTACAAATATGATTCCCTCAAATATTGACAAGTACAATGAAGATAAGAAAATGGCACTGAAGGTCTGGTATGGTGGAATGGTATCCTGAAGAGAAAATACTTCCATGGGTTTGAATGATAAAAGGGAGCTCTTTGGGAACGCCTAGGGACTCATATCCAGCAGGTCCTGAGACAGGAAAAAGACCTGCCTAATGGAAGAGTAAGGTCAGTGTGGTTGGTAATCACTGCAAGGTAGGGAAGCAAAAGAAATAGGGGCAAGGCTATAAGGTACAGCTGGGTCCCTATCAGGGCATTGTTCAGGAAGTGAAATGGGGACCAGGTAATATCCAGAACCAGCAACCCATCACAACTACACTGGAAAGCAGAGGAAGGGCAATAAAAGAGGAGACAGCATTTTGGCAAATTTGTTTTTTTTCCCTTCCAGGTCCCCTTGATCACTGCATTTCTCCCATTCATTCCAAACATTCTATCCAAGAGAAACTTGTTAAGATTGTAAATGGCAAAATCCAGAAGGCATAGTGAAACACAGGGCTTTCAGCCCTCCTTAATTAAGAAGAAAATCTATGCCAAATTACTTTCCTTTCAGGTTCCCTGAGTCTCAAGAGACCCCTGCCTGCAACACCCAAGTTCTCTGCAAGCTGGAGAGGTGTGATCAATGAGCCAAAGACGCCAGAAGCATGAGCTACCCAGTCCTCCTAGGCCAAGCCATTAATCTCTGTCTGGTCTGGGTAAATGAGCCAAAGACAATGAGTTTTGAAATAAGGCTAACAAACCAATCCTGCCAGACTATGTGATCATATCGCCCAGCAAGGTGGAGTAGGGCAGGCAACAGCCTCACCATCATATGGACCAGATAGAGACTTGGGAATAGCACTATAGAATGACTTTGCATCCCAAGCACTTACCAAGTGCCAAACATGACAGCATCCAATTCTTGAAACATCAAACAGATTAGTTTTAGTGTCACTATCATTGTACAGGATTGGAACTGGAGGCTTATAGTGTGTCCAAGGCCACACAGGTGCTTAGGTTCTCTACAAGGATATCCCAGTCCCCTTTACCAATCCAGTTAGCAGCAGGTATACGTAAGTACCATGCCTCTCCAGTGGTCAGCTCTGTGGTTCATATGCTAGCAGAAGAAAAGGACCTCAACTGCACTCTTTAAAATGCTTGGCCAGCTCTGGCCCATCCTTCTTCCATCTGTCTCATGGCTGCCCACTAACATCATAATAAGGCTTAGAGGCTAGAATAACATCCTGAAGTAAGAGAGCTCATTGTCTGTGGCTTTTGTCTTGTGACTAGCAGTTATATTTGATGTGTGTGCTTTTGGGTGTGCCTCTTAAGAATTCTATCTTCACAGGGGAGAGCCCAGATCAACTAAGGGAACAGGGGTCATTAGACAAGGCCTGAATCATGGCTCACAGGGCAGAAAAGTGCACCTTTTCAACAACACAGGCAAAGATAAAGTCTATCTGTCCAAGTTGACCACAGTACTCCAAGACCCAGGGTTCAGAAGAGTTTCTGAACCCTGAGGCATTAGTGACTCTGAGGCAAGCATGCTCTAGCTACTCTTGACTACTGAACAACCATTCCAATGAGTATTTATTTTTACACGTTTCTAGAGAATAGAAATTGCATGTGTTTATCTTATCAGAGTCTTCTGTGAGTCATTAGGAACAATTCCAACAGACATAATCATTTTAAGCATTCTATAGGCATTGTCTGAGTCTGTCCATTGTTCCCAGTACAGACTGTGAAACTGAGGCTGTAGAGGACTGAGGTTAGTTGCCTGAGGTGAGGAAAACAGAACTTGGAAAAGTCCTGAATGATAACTCCCCAGTCTGTCTTCCAAGCCCAGGCATTTACGCACAAAGCCCATGACATGGAAGACATGATGATGGTGGTGGTGATAAAGGTAGAGTGATATCAAGGTCAGCCACAGCAAGTGAGTCACAAAAGGAGCAATTTACCCTGAGTCAGGAGACAAAATGAAACTGGGAATAGTCTTCAGAGTCCAGCCTGATAGATCCACCACTAGCCTGTGCAACCCTCTGGCCACTAATGTGGGAGTGACACTCCATGTCCTCTCAGAACCTCATCCTGATAAGATCACCACGCCAGCACAGCAGGACATTCACACAGTCACAGGGCCCTATGAATCCCCTCATCCTTACCCAGAAACTACAATGGGGAACAATTTAATAAATTAGAAGGAACAGAAAGCCTCCATATATTTTCTCTGCAATAAATGTGATTTTGCAATAAATTTTCTAAACTGCTGAGCCAATTCAATTTACACGTCCCTAGAGAATTAAAAGAAAATGCCCATAGTCATTTAGATTCTCAGAATTTTTCTGTGGGTAACCTTTTAGTACTATCATCTAAGCCATACTGAGAAAGCACAGACAGGTACTTTTTAAAAATATATATAAATGAAATCATATGTAAAACAATAATTTGATGGACCACTCTAGATTTTCCTTTGAACAAATAGTTGTATTAGCACTTGGCCACACACTTCAAATCAAAATCTGTTCAAATGAAGGCATCAGAGAAATAGGCTCATAAA